TTTTGAGGCAGGGTCTCACTATGTAGTTAGACTGACCTGGAACTCACTGTGCAGCCCAGGCTGGTCTCGAACTCACAGTGATCCCTCCTGCCTCAGCCTCCTGAGTGCTGGTATTATAGGTGTATGCCACTATGCCTGGCTTTTTTTTTTTTTTTTTTTGAGATGGGGTCTTGCCATGTAGTCTAGGCTGGCCTTAAACTCACTGTGTAGTCCAGGCTGGCTCTATACTGGAATTACAGGCATGTGCCACCACGCTCAGCTGGTTTTAGCTTTTTTATGTTGTCCTCTTGCCTCATCCAGAGTAAGGATCATAGGCATTTTCTGCTGAAATCGATGCCCAGTGTTGAGCTGGGCCTGTGGTACACATCTGTACCAGTACTCGAAAGGCTGAGGCAGGAGGATCGCTGAGAATTCCAGGCCCGCCTGGGCTAGGTAGTGAGTTCAAGACCAGCCTGAATTGCATAGCGAGACCCTGTCTCAAAAAACAACGTTTATATAGTGATAATACAAATCCCTGGTGTGGCTAAGACACAGTGTGCTGTAATGACTTGTTTTTGCCCTTTATTGGGCACAATTGGAGCATAAACTGCACAGATTGGCATGTAGGGCATGCAGAGTTCTGACGTGTACACCCCTGTGGCCAGGATGGAGATGGCGGACTTGCCCATTCCTCGCAGAGTCCTGGGGTCTCCCTGCCCGCCCGCCCCATCTCTGGGCAGCCCTTTGCATCCTCTGTCTGTACCTCTGTCTGTGGCTTGGTTGTGAGGGGAGTCATGTGGCAGCGCTGTCCTTTTTGGTCCAGCCCCTCCAGTCTGCAGACGAGCATCATTCAGGTGGCCGTGCCTCAGTGGTTCCTTCACTGCCTTGCGGTTGTGTCCTGTGTGTGGATGGCCCGGTTTCCCTCTCATCTGTCCATGGACCTTTGGATTGTTTCTAGCTGTGGCGCTTCCAAATGGTGCTTTTCCCTGATTAGCTAATGGTGACAGACATCTTTTCATGGGCTTATTTGTCAGTTGTTTATATTTAATGGATTGTCGTTTCAAATCTTTACGCCTTTGGGTTTTTGTCGTACTGACTTAGAAGATACAAGATATCTCCAGATACAAGTCCTGTGTTGGGTGTGTTATTTTGCGAATGTTTTCTCTCAAGCTGATTTTGTAACTTTTTTTTTTCCTTTTGGTGCTGGGGCTGGAACCCAGAGCTTGGCAAATGTTAAACAGGGGTTCTACCACCGGATCACACCCCCATCCCAAGAGTTTCTAGAACAAAAACATTCAGCTTTAACAACTTCCAACTGTTTGATTTTTTTAATACGGATTTTTGTTATGACTCCAATTGTGATCTTGATCGCAGTAAGTTTGTCTCCTGTAGAGTCGGTAATGGCCACATACCTGCATTTGCTTCACTTTCCGTGCTGATTTGTTCCCAAGCCTGTAGACCGCACTCCGGGACTCCTTTCTGCCGTCCGCTGTCTCACTGTCTGGGTCCATCTGTCTGCACCTTTCTTCTTCTGGGTCCCCGGGGTGCCTCCCCTGCTCTCTGGGTACCTGTCTTTCCATTCCTCAGTTACTCCTTATGAGGAGAATCGTCTGATTTTTCTCAAGGTTCCGGAGGGGGAACAGGAAATGTTTTTGAGACGTGCATGTCTGCAGATATTTTCCTCCCTGGCTTTGGTGGCTTGGCTGGTATAGAATTCCAGGCAGGAAGGGATTTTCACTTGGAGTCTGAAGATGCCACCTCATCAATCTTTTTTTTTTTTTAATTGAGTTTATTGGTACAATCTAGGTATACAGTACAGTTACATTCATCATTGGGATTCTGTACCTTCACATACTAGGTCTTGATTCTCATTTTCCCCTTGTCCCTGCCCTCCCTTCACCCTCTCCTCCCCTCCCCATTTACAAACACTTTATTTCCATTTTTTCAGTTTCTCATATTTTTTTCCTCTCCCTTATTACCTTTCCCCCACCCTTCCCACTTTCTCTACGCCTTTAGCCCTTTACTTCCTATTTCACGTTATTATTAATTATCTCATTAGGATCCTGTGTACTATTATAGTTTTCTCACCAAAGAAACTATTCGGTATTTCAGTTAAACAAATCTCTGTATGAACATTAAAAATAGGGAACCCTAAAATAAAACTAAAAAGGAAAGTAAAAGACAAAAGGCAATGATGTAACATTAAAATAATTCTTAATTCTGGAGATGAAAATGGTCCCCAAACATATTTAAATTGCTTCTTGCTCCTATAGTCTTATCTTATTCTTTTTTTCATTATTTAGAGAATACTTTATTAGTTTCTGTAATCAAACCCACGTAGATATGACCTTACATATTTGGTATGATGTGTTACCCCTGTATACATGGAAAAAAATAAAAATAAACATTTCTAGATCAATATGGCTGTCCATTTCTGTAAAATGCCAACTCAACACAGTAAATTGGGATGAC